TATATGTCATTTACTCACACTTTAAAAACTGTCCATTATAACCGTTTAGAAACTGTTTATTTATAACTATTTAAAAATTGTCTATAAATTATAAATGGTTTTGTCTTAGAGATATTACCACATGCAAATGCATGTACATGTTTACTAGTAATTAAAAAATCATGAAAAAATATTAAAAAGGGTGATTCATCTGTCCAAGTTGACAAGTGTGAATGTTGGATTAAACTCTTGAAACATGTATATTGATGCATATTAGAATAAACCACTCTTGGCCTAGATCTTGTGGTTTTCATACACTTGTGAATCCAGATAATTAATATCGATCCTTTGTTTAGAGACAATTCCCCTAATTAATGTGGATTTATTTATTGGGAAAGAAAGGTAGGCAGTTTGAGAATACATTTTGTTTAATGTAAAACCATGACTTGATGATCAGATCAAATGGGTCAACGATTCAATTACCTGAACCCTTAAGTTTTTGACTAAATCCACAGTTTCTTAAAAGTTTATGGATTTTGTAAAATTCAGACACAGAAAAGGGACCAAGTAAGAATGTGGACTATTTGACCATGCGGATCAGGCCGGATTGAAAACATTAACAGAAATACATCAATTACATAATTTACATTGGTCCTCTTTAAACTACCTCAATGAAACTACCACATAAGCCTACACAAAATTATTTAGACCACATATGCTCAGTACCAAAAATTCCTCTTAATCTAAATGGTTTATTCTTTTCTCTTACAAGAAGTTCATTTAGCTGGTTAGAATTTTATTTTGTTCCAATCAAATTGGATGTTTGGAGTACATTTTAATAAGGTTTTTAAAATTAAATCGGACAGGAAACCATTATGGGAACCGATTCTCAGGTTAAATGGTTTAATCGTTTAGTTGGAATGAACGCTCCGTTCTAATTTAAAAATAAAAAATAAAAAACAGCCAAAATCATAGTCTGAATCGATGATTGATTTGAAAAAAGTATAAATGCAAATACACAAAATTGTATATTTAGGAAAAGGAAGCTTTGTTGGTTACTGGCAATCATCGTCAATGTCAAGTTGTACACGAAGTGAAGTGAATGACTTCATATGTGATGTATATTGGAGTTGCATTGGGAATTGTTTTCCCGAGTTACAAGACCTTTCTGTGGCTATATTGTCATACAAATTATTACATTTAATGCCCAATAAAACACATACACAATTCCCATTCAACGGATGTCAGCCTTCAATGAAGCTCAACTCTGAATATCGTTACATGGAATGATAAATTCGCTATGTTGTTCGGCCACACATTAAAAAAATATGGCCAAACAAACTCTCTCGCACTAAACATGGAATCCTTTACAAAGAAAAAGGCAAGGAAAGGTAGAGTTGTTAATGGATTGGATATTGGTTTAATCTAATCCCACCCAGTATGAATTATCGAATCCATTACAGATGGATCAGATCCAATTTAATCTATTAAATATTTTGGGTTAGTCCAGTTCAATGCCCGTACTGTTGAAACTTGAAACTGTTCAAATTGATTTTAATTTAGATTGGGTCCAACCCAAACCTGATCCATCATTACTCTATTCTTTATCTTAAATGTTAATGAACTGGATATTGGTTTAATCCAACCCAATCTAATATAAATCCATTATAAATGGATGACGTTCAGTCCAATCCAATGAATATTTTGGACTATTAAGTCTGGTCCGTCCAATCTAATATGCTTTATTGATCCATCAAATCCATTCAAATTGATTTTAATTCCGATGGGGTCCAACTCAAATCCAGTCCATTAACACCTCTAGAAAAAATGAAGGGTTTGTATGGGTTCCCCTACCTTTTCTTTCAAGCCAAAGACAGTCTTTAAGGAACAAGAGGATATTGAGTCAATCATCACATGTCACACCAGCCTGTTGTATTTGTTGTTCTTTGGAGGAAAGATTTAGAGGCCACAACATCATAGTTGGTTTTGCTTTTAAAAATAAAAACGTCATGTCTTTAAAAACAATATATTCGTTTTCAAAAACAAAACTGAAGACCAACCTTGTTGTGGAACACCCCTTTTAAAGTGTTATTTTCTATCAGAACAATAAGCAATTTGAACTCCTATTCATGCCTTAAATGATGTTTAATGTACACTATTTTAATCACACTTTCTATGTGTTTAGTATTGCTATTTCTCAAGGTGTTTCCTCCATTAAGCATTTTTAAGCATTTTCAAATCATTTCAAGCAACACTTATACCTTGGGTTTAGACCTGTTCATGGGCCGGGCTTGAACGTGGTTATAGGCCCGTGGGCTTAAATTCGGGCCAAAAAGTCCGGCCTGCAATAAATTTGAGCTGGGCTCGGGTTTTGTCAAAATAGCCCGGCCCGACCTAATATTAGACTTAAAGTGAGTAATGTGATTATGTCCATTTGAATAAATTTTTTGATTTAAGAATGTAAAACTGTGTTTTAAAATATAAAAGAAAGGGGAAAAAAACCATCTTGTAGGCCCATTGTTCATTTAAATAGGAAAAAAAAACTATATGAATATTTAATTCTAATTTGAATAGGGAAAATTGTTTTTTTTTTTATTAGATCGGGCTTCGGGCTCAGGCTCGGGCTCGGGCCCAAGTTATAGGCCCGTTGGTCAGGCCAGGCTCGGGCTCGGGCCTAGCATATTTCCCTTAATGACAAGTGAAAGCCCGGCCCGACCCATGAACAAGTCTACTTGGGTTATATGAAAATAACTTTTGATAAAACGTCATCTTCACATTTCTTGCAATGGAGGGAGCTTTTTTTTTCCCCTTTTTACCTTTGTGATGCCTAATGGTGCCTAATTGGCCCAAATAATATTATAAAAATATGTCCAAAACTTGTAGTGCTTTATTGAATTCCAACAAGGGCGGAGCCAGGAATCTTTTATAAGGGGGGCCAAAACCTAAAGTGAGTGGGGAATTAGAGAGGTGAATATATATATAAGTGGGGATTTCTGGGCCATAGGGCGCGGGCCATGGCTCTGCCCCTAAATTCCAAAGTGTGGCCGTTTCTTGTGAAAATGGCAATGATACCAAACAAGGCTATTATGATCAAGATCAAAGCGGTTATAACTTGTAAAGGTGCCAATTAGCTCACTTGGTAAGGTTTTTAACTGTTGTAGTAGACACTTAGGCGCTGCATTTGGAAATGATGCAAATGGTGTAAATCCCAGTTCAGGGTAAATTTGCACTCTGGTTCACTTTTGTTCGTGTTTGACAACATTACATTTATTCATTGACAAATGCATATTTACATTGATAATAAGATGTAAAAGTACGTCAATAAAAAAAAAGGTAAATTTGCATTCAAGTGAGCTTTTGATATAAAAAAAGCATATGCTTTATTGGAATTCATGTTTGCATCCATTACAGCTAAAAGTTTGTTTGGTAAGAACATAAATCTATCAGTGTAAAACTAACCCAATTTTACAATTTATATAAATCGTTTTACACTCTACATATTTGCATTCACAGTTATTTACATCATTTCCAATGCAGCATTAAGATCAAATTTCACCCTTACCAAGGTTGCGGGGTCATTATGGGCAAGGAATGGGCTACCTCTATTTCTAGCCCATGAAAAAAAGGTTGCAACTTATTTCTTGACAAGAAAGGAACTTAGACTTGCATCTTACCTTGCCCATAAAATAAAAACTTAATATCCGTTGGTGTAAATGCACATACTAAAGATAAACGAGTAAAAATGAAACTAGAGATATTTTATTCATTTTTTTTTTGTGCATGGAAACCAATTCAAGTATCCGTATAGATGATAAATGATTGATTACAAGAATGGTGCTTAGACTTATATATGCTTTTGCCAAGAAAATAAAGATTTAATATATGCTAAGTACCTACCCTTTGAGATGTAATAATTCCTAGCATTTGGCAAGTGCCAATGCACAACCAATGCGAATTTGTACCCTTGGCACAGTTTTGCAAGTTTTTTTTTTTTATTAGAATGTGTTTTTGTATTAAAATTGAAAGTAAACATGCCTTTTCAACCGTTTTTGCCTTCAAAATGGAGGCAAAGTTTGTATGATCAAATGTAAAAATAAGTTGCCTTTAGCCTTAAGATTCATGTTTGCAGTCATTATAATCAAACAAGACAGTAATTTTCTCATTGCAATCCAAACCAAGTTTCCATCCTTCCATTTTAGGTTGGGTTTGAGTTGGTTGAGTCAATTTTGGGTCAGGTTGACAAAGGCTAGATTTTAGCCTTAAATATTTAGGTTTTAGTTGGATCCATAGATCAAATGGATCAGTGGTTCAATCATCTGGGTCAGTTGGCTTTAAACCAAGTCAATGGACCATCCCACCTGATCCAAAACAATGTCATAATGTCATTTAGGTCAATGCCTATTTTGAGATATGCCCGGTTTTTTTAATAATCAGCTGTACATGGGTGTTTGTTGAAATGCCTATATGGATCCGATAAGACATGCTTTTTTTAAAAAACGTCCATGATTTCAAACATTTCCTAAATTAACATGAATTTGAACAAATTGAACGATCTAAACATTAAACTGAATTAATCCAAAATGATCAAAAATATTCATTAGACTGTATTGTATGATCGGATTGACCAAAATATATTTGTGTATGTAAGATTTATTTTAAAAACCGTTTCATTAAAAACAATGTTGCAATTTTTTTCATGCATTTATTAAGCTGAAGATTAGATTGACATATTGTAATATTGGGTTGAGGTAGAATTGGATTATCAAATTGAGTGTCAGATTGGTTCTTGGGGTTGGTTTTCTTTACCCTTCCTTGCCCCTGAATTGATGTCAGCCTTCCCCAACTTGGACCGAGTTGCACTCAATACTGACGAGGGTATTTTTGTTATTTAAAAGGAGGGTATTAAGGTAAATAAAATAATAAAAGGTTGTGTGGCATGATGAAATTTTGTGAGAAACAAGGGGTTTTTCTTATTCTTATGGAAATTAAGGAAGCCTCGGTTTTAGAAGAAGGCGAAAAATCCCGGGCTTTGGTTGGACATTTAGGCAGAGAGAGAGAGAGAGAGAAATAACGATTTTTTTTCTCTCTCTAGCTCGATTGTTGGGTATGCAAAAGAGAGATTAGAGAGAAGAGACGGGGGTGAGGATAGAGAGAGAGAGAGAGAAGACTCTGCGGAAGAGCTTTGACCCTCTCTCGTCCATGGCGGGTTCACACCCAGTATTCCTCCTTTCATCCTCTTCTTCTTCCTGAACTCTTCGTTCATTCCATCAAGACGCTATTTTATCTTCTGACCCACCTCGGTTTTTCTTCAGGTTTCTCTTCCTCTGAATGTTAATTGATAAATCTTGTGGGTTTTCTGAAATTCGAAATCCAAGTCCTGCTTTGTTGATTCAAGAGGTTTTAACAATTCTTGCGAAAGGAAGATCATTCCGTTGCTCGTTCTCTTTAGCATTTCCTTCCTTCAAAACCGTCCAAAGCTCAGCGAAGATTTTGGGTTCTTGTCGGTATAGCTGGATCTTCAAACCATCTGCAAGAAAAAGAGAAAAAAAAGTGAGATTTGAAGATTAGTTTCTTGAATTTTTTTCTGTTGGAATCTACGTTGTCCTGACCTGATTTGGATGTTTTGACATTGGAAAGGAAAAATCAATTTTTGCAAGTTGAATACAAGTTAGGTTTTCTTGGTTCTGGATTTTTTTCGTCTAGGAGCAGAAAGAGAAACAATTTTCGGAAGATTTTGATCGATCCGTCCCAAACTTTCAACAAGTCTGTTCAAAGATCACAAAAAAGTTGGAAATTTGAGGATTTGAAAGATGGGAAATTGTTGTACGACGACGGGATCTATTTCGGGCAAGAAAAGGGGGAAGAAAAAACAGAACCCGTTTTCCGCTGATTATGCAGGGAGTTATTCATCCGGAGGTGGGAATAAACTATCGGTCTTGAAAGATCCAACCGGTCGCGACATTGGGAGCACATACGAGCTGGGTCGCGAGCTTGGGAGGGGAGAATTTGGGATAACGTATCTTTGCACCGATAAATCTTCAGGGCAACAATTCGCCTGCAAATCGATTTCAAAAAAGAAGCTGAGAACAGCAGTGGATATCGAAGATGTGAGAAGAGAGGTAGAAATCATGAAACATTTGCCTAAGCACCCAAATATCGTGAGCTTGAAGGACACATACGAGGATGACAATGCCGTTCATCTGGTGATGGAGTTGTGTGAGGGTGGGGAGCTGTTTGATCGGATCGTCGCCAGGGGACATTACACCGAACGGGCTGCTGCTGTCGTTACTCGAACTATTGTCGAAGTTGTTCAGGTTAGATCTCAACTACCCTCTTTTAGATGAATTGGTATCAGATGCATTAGATCTCACGTTTGACTTTCAATTTCTTTCCTGGACTTCATGGGTCTTGATTTAATTATGTTCGGTTTTAATACCGAGGAGGTTCTTGTTGATTATTTTAGTTTAGGAGAATCTTGAGTTTCTAATTATTATAGAATCTTTGTTTGTTTATTGCTATTAATCTTGCTAATGATGAGTTTTATTTTGAGGAATAACTTTTTAATTTGTAGGAAATAAAATCCTTTGGTCCTCTTTACTGGTTTCATATATTCTATCCTTCCATAGAATCCATTTGGGTAATTTTCTCTTTATGCTTTCTGCTTTTAGCCTATATTGAGTAGTTTCCCGAACTGATTGTGGTCTTCCAATGATCCTTCCTACATTCTTTAGTATCGCATCACTTAGAACTACTCAAAGAGTTACCTCTTCCTGCTTTCTTCACATACCATCGCGAAAAAGTGAAACCTTAGACTTATTTTGTCTTTCTGTTACGTCTTCTGTAGTCAATTCTGGTTATCTTCAGGCTATTCACAATTCCATGTCAGAAAATTCCCACTAAGTTATGTTCTTTATTCCTTATTCTCTGGTTTTGTTTTATTTGTTCCCCTAACAACCTTTAACAAACTATCATGTTAGTTGGAACCTTCTCATTTATTTTTGCAATGCCAATTGTTTATTAGCAACTCCCAAGGCTGCTTTATTATGATTTCTTTTTCAGTCCTTCACAGAAATAATAGATGTGATACTCGAAACAGTATCTGAATCTTCATCTTGAGTCTCCAATATTCCATGTTGGGTGTTATCACCAAATATTCAATGGGCTAAAAATATAACTGAGTTGCTAGTTCTGTTCTTTGTTACCCTCTCTTAATTTTTCACCTGTTTAAGTAGTGCTCTTTACCGTCTTTATGGTTCTTCTAACTATTTTCTTGTTTTCTTAAACTTGAGACTGAATTCTGCATTCGGCTTAATGTTAAGAAAATTGTATTTGGCATGTTTGGTAAAATGGAGCTAAATTAATTGTTTTTGTCATTATTGCATCCCAGATGTGCCATAAGCATGGAGTGATGCATAGGGATCTCAAGCCTGAAAACTTTTTGTTTGGAAACAAAAAGGAAACAGCACCCCTGAAGGCAATTGATTTTGGATTGTCAGTGTTCTTTAAACCTGGTAATGCCTTTTAAATACTAATACATTTCTTATTCTGTTTTGTGTAATTTACTTGGTTGCTTTAGGTGCTACAATTTTGTTCTTGAGATTTTTTTTTTCTTTCCCTGGATTGTGGTTGAATTTTTGTCATTTTCTACAGGTGAACGGTTTACTGAGATAGTAGGAAGTCCTTATTACATGGCTCCAGAGGTGCTAAAACGGAATTATGGCCCTGAAGTAGATGTCTGGAGTGCAGGAGTGATCCTATACATCCTACTTTGTGGGGTTCCACCTTTCTGGGCAGGTGGGTTTCTCCATTTCTAAGGGGCCAGGTTGTTCTAGCTTGTATGAAGGAATACAGGTTGGAAACAACAAAGGTGTCTATCCATTCATCAGTTTGTAAATGAAGTTCATTTTGGAAATTTCCTGAGTTAGAATATACAAACTTGAAAGAAAATGAAAAATGAGCAGTTGCATCTTTTTTTTTTCATGGGGCTAAAAGCTATTCTATCTGTTCCCAAATTATTTACACAACCACACACTTATAAAGTTATGGATTTCTTTTCATTCATCACATCTTATTTTTGGATGTTATCCTTTCTGAAGATTCTTCTGGTATCTAATGCAGAAACTGAACAAGGAGTTGCACAGGCAATTATTCGCTCTGTGATAGATTTTAAGAGAGATCCTTGGCCCAAAGTTTCTGATAATGCAAAAGACCTTGTGAAAAGGATGCTTGATCCTGATCCAAAGCGGCGGATGACGGCTCAAGAGGTGCTTGGTAATGTTCAGTTCTTTTAAACTTGTACTATTTTATGCTCATGGAGTTTAATGTTTGAATGCAAAAATAGGAACTTTTTCCAGTAAGGACTAGACGGAAACATGTACAAATTAAACTTTCTTCTCTCTGAATGCAGATCATCCTTGGTTACAAAATGCAAAGAAAGCTCCAAATGTGTCTTTGGGTGAGACTGTGAAAGCAAGGCTTAAGCAATTCTCTGTAATGAACAAACTTAAGAAAAGAGCTTTGAGGGTGAGGATTCCAACTTTGGCTAGATTACTTATTGATGACTATTTGTGTATTAAATAACATTTGTGAGGCACCCTTTAATGGTTGTTGTCCAAGAATATTACAAACTTGATTGATTACTGACACTTCTTTGGCATTTTACCCACACAGGTGATGGCTGAGTTTTTGTCTGTAGAGGAAGTGGCTGGTATAAAGGAGGCATTTCAAATGATGGACACTGGTAACTGTGGCAAGATAAACCTTGATCAACTGAAAGTTGGTCTGCAAAAACTTGGCCAGCAGATCCCTGATCCTGATCTTCAGATTCTAATGGAAGCTGTAAGTAATATGTCATAGCCCCCAAAATTTTCCCTCTTATGAGCTGTCATTCTTATAAGTTTAATGTGTACAAACCAACAAGCTTCCCTTCAAATTCTATCATCACATTTGAGTATTTGTATTTTTATTGATCACTTTGCTTCCAATTGACATATTTCATGGAGCTGGTTGTTTTTCTGCAGGCTGATGTAGATAGGGATGGATATTTGGACTATGGGGAGTTTGTTGCAGTTTCAGTTCACCTACGAAAGATGGCCAATGATGAGCACTTGCGGAAAGCCTTTGATTTCTTTGATCAAAATCAGAGTGGATATATAGAGATTGAAGAGCTACGGGAAGCCTTGGCTGATGAAGAAGGTGCCAACAACGAGGAAGTCATTAATGCCATAATTAATGATGTAGACACAGACAAGGTTGGTGTTGTATCATCATCATCATCATTCTTTCCATTTGAGCCATATTCTAATTCTTGGTGTTTGAAATCATGAATTATATTTATATGCCCAGTTCTTAGTTCTTATTATCCATAATATGCAGAAATACAAATTCATACCTGTTGCATTGTCTTGCAGGATGGGCGTATTAGTTACGAGGAGTTTACTGCTATGATGAAGGCAGGTACAGATTGGAGGAAAGCATCAAGGCAATATTCACGAGAACGGTTCAATAGTTTGAGTTTGAAGTTGATGAAGGATGGGTCTTTACAACTGAGAGTAGATGAGACAGGAAAACAAAAGTAATTGTGAAAATTTTCTAGGAAAGAAATTTCTTTCTTTTTGGTGAGTCTACAAAATTCTTTCTTTTTTTTTCTTTTTCTATTTTTTGTTCATTTCTTTGATTGTGATTTTTCTCCTATTTCTTTTTTCATCTAGAGGATGAGTAGGATTGGGGGATTGGTGTGTTTGTGTGTGGCTACACATAGCAAATAGCTCTTTGTTTCTAAGAGAATTGCAGAGCTGCTGGAGAAAAGAGAGTAAAAGGCCCAATGTTTGTTATGGTGGTTGTAAATATATCAATTTGGCTGATAGACTCCCCTTTAATGAAGAATCATTGTGTGTGGGTGCTGCTTATAGCTGCAGCCCATGTGTACTGTTGGCCAAAGAAACAGCACATGGAATTGTTTGGTTAGTCGCTTTACTTGAAGTTCTATTACTTTTCTTTTGGCGTGTTTTGAGTTTTATGTGGTCTCAACTTGGACTTTGGTTTGTTGGCTTCAGGATCAGTTAAGCTTCTTCTTAAAGTTTAGCTGTAGACTTGTCCTGGTCGTCCTTCCTCTGTTCATGTTCAACCTTTTCGGCTCTTCCATTGAAGATTCATCTATGTATTTGTACATACTGTTTTTTATTTTTCATTTTAACCAATCCAAACCAAATGCTTAATGCTTAGAAGTTAGAATATGGCGAAGAGAAGGAAAAAGGGTAAAGTAGGATGTGTGACTTGTCCGGGGACGTAACGTAATGGGGGGGGGGAGGGATTGAACCTCAGCTTTGCAACTCTAAATGGGATCCAGTTAGTTAATTTCTGTTACAACGGTCACAAATGGCAAGTAATACTTTCGGTTTCAAGTTTCAATGGTCGCAATTTAAGCTGGATTCAGTATGTTTGGACGAGCTCTGTACATTAGGAACATCTCAAGTGGGTACTGTATTGGATAGGATTCTTGTGACAGGAGATCCGGAGTCCGTTTGGACTCGGAGAGATGTTCCCCTTTCGAGTTCCTCCATTTTATGTTCCTCTCATTAAGAAAGTTTGGCGTGATGTATTCAATTGATCATACCAGCGCTAGTGCACCCCGTTTCACATCAGAATTTAGCTTAGCCTTGATCCATTACTGATCTATCAAAGAATAAAAAAAAAGAAAGAATTTAGCTTAATCCTGCCTACTTCACAGGCCACTATATAAATTTGTTTATTTAACATAATAAACACTGAATTGAAACCAAAGTGAGTACAAACTGTCAAATGAATCAGAGGGATGTCATCAAACGAAAACAGAGGTTAAGATTTGTGGCATTAATTTCGAGTTGGCATCTACCCCAACTGTATGGTGGAGCTAAGATTTATGGGGGTGGACTGAACAGTAAAAATCCCTTTTTTGAATCTCCTATAATGAAGGAATAAGCCTGGAGTTGACTTGCTAGTTTATTAGGTTCCAAGCCAGCCCTCATTTCAGCTATTTGTTATTGAGGCGATGCCATCTGGACCCATGTGAGTCTTAATCAAATGCCCCTTGTGATCCTTAGATATCCATCGAAATGCACGATTTCATCTTTTTCTTAAGCCATCAAAGTTTATTTTAAGGGTTTTTACTGTTCGATCCAACTCCACAAATCTTAGTTTTACCGTATAATTGGGGTAGGTGCCAGATCGAAATTGATGTCAATATACGGACAGGTATTGGTGTTTAGGTGAAGGTGTTTAAAATTTTGAATTGTTATAGGCCTGGGGTAGAATTCAGAATTCCGAGGTGGAGTACAGTCTATTTATCCCTTCAAAAAACAACTTTTAAAGCTCTTCAAGATCAAGGCAATACCACGTGGAGAAGATTGCAAGCAAATTGATCGAGAGTATCATCGTCAGGTTTCATATGCCCATATTCTGTGAGGAAGACAGATCGAAGGTCATTCCACCAGCTTTTGAGATTGAAGACTATTCCATGGGAGTTCTGATTTTTTGGATTGTTCTTTTACTGGTCTGTGTTAGCCTTGGTGTTTCTTTCTTCTTACCAAAAATAAAAAAAAAAAGAAAAAAAGAAAAACAATTTGCATTCCGAACAGTTCAGTTTTGCAGGTATTTGGTGAACACATTTCTTCATTGATAATCACAGTAAATTTGTTCTTCTGATATATTTGCGTTTTAAATTCAAAACTGGTTTGGTTGATGTAGAAAGCTAGATTCCACTCTTGAAATTCTTGTTCGTATTGGTAACAAGTAACAACCAAATACATTTGAATTTAAAACTTATAAATAAATAAAACCTGCCTCACCCCAACTTTAGTGGTTTAGAATGATTCGGACGTGAGTTTGTGGGTCAGTTTTAATTCGCAAACTTACTTTTTTTTTTTTTTCATGAAAGAAGATTAGAAGAGTAGAAGAAAAGTGAAAAGGCAAATGGGGAGAAATAATTACGGAGACAATTCATTCATGGAGATAAGAACATCTTATCCAAAAAGGAAAAGGTGTATTAAAGTTTTTAGAGACGTTACTGGTGAAAAGTGACTCTCGACCCTCACGAGTGGGACACGTACTGGTAAACGTGTCCGGCAAACAAAAAATGGAGAAATGTCACAGATGACAGGCAAGAGAAGAGACTAAGAACGATACATTTTTCCCAGAAAAAATGGCTTTTAAGGTTTTTTGTCGGAAGAGGTAAGCGGAGAAATCTATTACTTATTGTCTTATTCACAAAAAAGATTTACGGACGGTGAACCCAGAAACCATGAGCTTCCTCTGAACAACTCAAGAATGGATGCAGAAATGGTTGTAATGGCCTGGCTCGTTGTCTCACTCGTTCCTTTTTAACTTGTTAACTTGGTTTAAAACATGAATATATGCATTGTTCTGTCGATCAGCAGAACAGAGGCGGCCTAGCTCATTTAGATGGCGAAAGAGTAGAATCCTCACGAATACGCAGTGGACGAAAGGAGTCAACAAATTTCTTGCCTTTGGGGAAATCATCTTTCATCTTCGGTAGGGGTGCTAATGAGTAGGGTGGGCCCGGTTTGGATACTTGGGTTCGGCCTGGTTTGGATTGGTCAATCAGGTCTGGCAAAATTGCATAAGCCAACAAATTTGCATATGCGTGCATGCGTCTATGTATCTGATTGACTACTTGTGTATGTGTGTGTATAATTGGGCAAAGGTTGGACTGGGCTTCGGGATTTCGGTCCCAGACCCATCCAGAAAGGTGAGAAATGTTGGGCCAAGCCTTTGCAAAATTTTGGGCTGGGACTGGGCCAGGGTTGGGCGAAGGATAGACTCAGACAGAGTTGATTATTTAGTAGGAGGTTCTAGCCTCTGGATATATAATTTTGTCATGATTAATAATCGGTCTGGGATTAGGGGTGCAAATGGATGGGATCATGATTCGATTTGGATCACCCCTATCCGATCCAATATATTATTTATATTGTATTTTTATAAATTTATTATATTATTTATTTTTTTTATAAAAAAACATATATATGATGAAAATAATTAAAAAGTACTTGTATTTTTATTTTTTCTTTATTTAAATTAATATATTTTATTTTTAATAATTTATTAATTTTTAAAGAAAACAAGTTGGATCAAATTAGATCTAAAGATCCAATAGGATTTGAATTCAGATCGAGTCCTATCAAATCCAATCGAATTTTCGGATTGGATCAGATCTGACATGAACAGTGTTGGATCATATTCGAATCCGATCCGATCCATTTGCATCCCTATTTGTGACTGTGATACCTTGTCCCAACCCAACCCTATATCTTTGATAACTCAGTGAAACTAATCAACCAAATTATGTCCTCATTTTTGCGTTTGATGGTAGTGTAAACCTGAACCAATACAAATTTCACACCCGGTTCAATTTTGCATCTCTTTCTTTTTTGTAACTACGACTTAGTATGGAAGGGGCACAAATACAAATATGCAGAGTGCAAAACTTTAGGCTCAGTTTGGAAGCAGTACAAATGCAAATATGTACAGCATGAATACATATAAAATAATACAAAATATAAGGTTTTGCACTCTACATTTTTGCATTTGTACTCCTTCCAAACTCAGCCTTATATTTTGTATTATTTTTTATGTATTTGCACTGTACATACAAAAACGCAGAGTGCAAAACATTGTATTTTGTATGTATTTGCAACGTATATATATTTGTATTTGTACTCTTTCTAAACTGAGCCATAGTTTGGAAAGAGTACAATAAATGCATACAAAATAATACAGAATACAAGGTTTTGCACTCTATATATTTGTATTGGTACTCCTTCCAAGGTTTTAGGGCCACACCATCATCCTTCCTTATCCTACCTCACTCTCAAACAAATAACCCTCCTACTTCCGTTCTCTTGCATATATGGTGGGACCATACCATTTTATTTCTTATTTTGCTTTCACAAACAAACAATGCAGGGTCAAATCTGAAGCAAAAGTAACAAAGTTTGTACTGCAACTAAACACAATCTTAATAAAAGTATTAACTTTTTGTATAAAAAAAGTATTAACTTTACCTTTCAAAATATATGTTCTGAAATTGCCAAAATTATTCTTATTTATAATTTATTAAATACATTTTTTTATCTCAAAAATTTGATTATCATGATAGAAAGTTTTGTTCCTTAGAGGGTATTCTCTTGCCCATTTGACTTCGTTATGACTACATGCAAAATGTCATATGATTTGTCTCAAAATTTGATTTGGGCACATCACACCATGGTTGATCTAATTTGATATGGACACACCATCATGGGCAATTTAATTTGACATGCCCATACCACACTTTGTATCTGGTAATGCATGGGGTAGTGATGGAAATATCAAGAAGACTATTATTATTTGGCATAAAGCTATAAATAGATTCAAAATTTTATAGTATAAGTAGACCCAAATTTGATTCATTTATATTCAAATTAGGATCTCATCTAATGGAATTTGGTTCTAAATAAGTTAAACAGAAAATGACTAAAATATTATATATTAATAAAATAAACTAATAAAAAGAGGGCATATCATAATAAAAGTGATATAATGTTTTGCGAGTTTGATTAGTGTTAGGCCATGTTTGGGAGTGCTTAAAAATAAGCATCTATTCAAAATAAGTGCTTATTTGGGCCTGAACCACACCATTAAGCCCTCATTGGTGTTTGGGTAATAAGCGCAAAATAAGTGCTTATTTTAAAAATAAGGACTTGTTTTTTAAGTTCAAATTTCAGATTTTTTTCAAGCATTTATTCAATTTTTTTCAAAATTATCCTTAGTTGAATTTTATACATTTATAAAAGTACTTCCACTGAAGTGCTTTTATAAAAATACTTTCGTAAAAATGTTTTCATAAAAAATACTTTTATAAAAGTGCTTTCATAAAAATTGAAAGAAAATGAAAAAAAAATAGTCACAATTACTTATTGGAGGAAAAAGCTACCAAACGCCCAAGATGAAATAAGTACTTATTTTTTATAGTAAGCACTTAAAAAATTAGGTGCCAAATATAAATAAGTATTTATTAGAATAAATACTTGTTTTTAAGCACTTATTGTTAAATATGGAATGAACCTTTTGGTAAGAAAGCGTCAGCAATGGACAACCCACCAAACATTTTGTCACAACAA